TCCTAATTAATTGTTCCCTGGAATGCTTATAGCTACTGAGTTAGTTCTGCTCTTGCATCTTAGCACTGCCTGTCTGCATGCCCTGGATAAGTTATTAATGAGATTTTCATATCCTGCTCGCTATTGCTTCTCCATTTTTTACAAGGAATGCTTTTTGCCAATATACATTATCCACAGCTCTAACATAAGTTTCTCACTGACTCCTCTGGAAGCACCATTATGGCCAGATTCCATGTGGCCCTTCCAGATATGCCCAAAAGAGGAGCATACATACAGTAGTTTATCCCTTTGTGTCCCAGCATAGCTACAAAGACAGTGGGCTTTTAGATGATGCAAGTGCTGCTCTGAATTGCTCTGCACTAGCACTGGCAGAGAGATATTACCATTTCCAAAAGATTAACCTGGATCAAAAAAAAGGCTAAGGAAGCAACCAGAAATGAAAAAGAACTGCACTTTTTTCCTTTAAAAACAGTAGTGGAAGATTTCTAGTAGTGCTCTGCAGAAAAAGAAAATAGACAAAGAACCTTCCTTTATGATACTCTGAATTTGCATTAAGCATGTTTGGGGCTGACAAACACCACTAGGTTTGGCTAGGGGACTAGCCAAACGAGGATCCCCCAGCTAGAGACTGCTATAGCTACAAACTCTTCTAAAGCTCATTAAAAACTCTGAATCACAGCAATGTATAAATACAGTGCCCTAAATTCAACATATTCCAGATTATCAGCATATTACCATGGCTGTGACTCCTGGCAACTCAAAACCACCAACTATTTGATGAACACACACACACACACATATATATGGATACAGCTCTCCTGATCTGGGCAGGAGACAAAGGTAATCTGTGAAAAAATGGGTTTCCCTTGTGCTCATATTGGTGAGCACATCACACAATTTTTAATCACCAAGTCTGATATTCTACACCATTACACTGATTCTGTGCAATGAAATATCCAGTTCTCCAAAGATGAAAGATCACACCTGCAAATGCTCACTGCTGACCATCTCTTTGATAGCAATAGTCAGCAAGAATTCCTCTCCATTCTTTTCAGTTTTCGTCTTCAACTGATTTACAAAATGTTCTGAAGAAAGAGGATTTGGTCTGTCTGTATGAGAAATGCAATGCAGATGCTTGCTTAAAGCAATCAGGACATCTGAAAGCAGAGATGGTTCCTTCAAAATAGATTCACAGTGCATTTAATTTTCACCTACCTACTGTCTTATCTTCCTCTTTTTTTAACAACCAGCATTCAACTCTTTGGTTACAATAAGAATGTCGTTCCTGAAGCTGGTCAAACTGACCATAGTTTGCAGAAGGATCCTGACATTTTCATAGATCTTTTCAATGTCAATATGGCACTTGAAATCATAGGATATGAAGTCCATTCTTCTGTCCTTGTAACCTCCCTCTTGTTTTTCTCCAACATTTAAGTTTTCTGTTCAGTTCTGTTTTTTAAGTTTCCAAGAGTAGAAAAGACAGAAGTTCTTTAGCAATTGGAAAGGCTAATTTCAGATGTGAGAAAGTAAAGAAGACTGAATAACTTATGGAGATAGTCACAATACTGAAGTATCCAGCATTATTATCATGTCTGTTCATGGGGCAGAGGGGAGCAGAAAAATAATTCAATCATTAACAGATATTTTGGTTCCTTGCTTAGTTTTAGTGCCCATTAATGTGTGGACTTCCTTTTCTACATGCTAATAAAAAGCAAAAGATTAATGAAAAAATGTTACTCTAAGTGTATTGCAAACATACAGCAAATAAAAAGAAGAAAATACCTTAATGACTTGTAGAAAGTCATAAACAAATAAGGTCTGTATGACTTGCCATTTGCATGGTTATATTTCATCCAAATTAATGCTAATGATACAGTAAAATTTGTTTTGAAGTCAAACTTGTCATTTATTTTGATGACTAAACAGAAATGGCATGGAATGTTTGGGTAAAATAGTTCACTTCAGAGCTGAAAGTGCAGTCAAGAGTGTTCCAGCTGCAATCCTGTGCTTAGCATGAAATGAGTACAGAGAAAAGATTATCTCCCCTTGAATAAACCCATGCTCATCCATATCAATACAGCAGGCTGGGGTATATATCTAAGTCATATGATATGTCTCTGGCTTCAGGGGATGGTGCAGCGTCATCTTCTCCCTGCCCACACCCATTTTGCAGGTCATTTTATCATTGTATTGTTCATACACCACTCAAGATCCCAGCTGCTAGGATAGCCAACAGCCAAAACCTGTTTATCTGACTGAGGTGTACCACCAGTAAAAGTTAAACCTTCCTCAAGAGCCTATAGAAAATATTCTGTTCTGAATTGCATCAGTAAAGCATCAAGTTACCTGCTGTCAGTACTCACATTAAGTCTCACAGTAAAATTAATTACAAATCTATCCCTTAATTCAAGAACTACCTCCCAATCAGACATTCACTTAGTTGAATTTAATATACAGACTTTCAAGAAGCCTGTACATTTCCCTTTTGTATGTCAATAACTACATAAAATGTCAATATCAACCCAAAACATTTCATTACTAAAGGAGCAGTTTTCTACCATGAGCTAAATTCTTGCTATAAAACACCTCTGAAAATGTCTTTCACAGCAAGTGAAAGTGGGCTGATGAACAGCTCTTGCTTTCAGATGACTTTAGAAGGATCTCAGACCCTGGACTATTTCTGTTTTACACGTTAGGCCAGATTGTGATGCCAGTCATAGCAGTGATATGCGCACGACAATGCAAACTGCTGTGCCAAAGTAAACATTCTGCTGCATTCAAATGATCTGTTTCAGATTCATATAAAGGGAAGTGAAACACAACTGAGACTAGGTATCTTAAATTAATGATGTGTGGCATGGTCAGAATGCAGTAATGTCTTGCAAAAACGCTTTTAGAAATTCCCAGGCTTACTTGTAGTGTTAAAAAAAAAAAAAGGTTCATTGTTTCCACATCTCTTTTCAGAGTACAGGTCAATAAAGAAAAAGGAATAAACTGCTAGAAAACTCCTGAAATATGAAACTACATAATTACTAAGCAATATGTACAAAAGTCTTGTTTGGTATGTTTTGTATCATGAATTATAACAACTGCCATTTACAAGTGTTCTTTTAAACTGAATCCATCCATCCACAACTGAAGTATTCTTGAAGATTAAGATTAATGTGTCATGAATCACCACGGTTTAATATGCATGACACAGTTTCATTTCACACATATTCTGCATGGGTTGATTGCCATGTATACCAATATCAAACAGATGTTAATTCTTTAATTTTTTTTGCTCTCAGAGTATGTTTTAATTATCTATGAGGCTTCATAAAGAAAAAGAGGGAGGTTATTTTGAAGCAAATTTAGTGAAAGATATAGAAGAAAAATCCATTAGATCTTTTCTTTATTTCATGTTCTCAACAATATTATTTCAATATTAAAAAAATAATTGGTATGCAAAGAAACTGCAGACTGCTCTCATTAAATGGCTCATTCCTTTAAGCAAGAAAACTGGCTATTTTTCTAATAAAATGCAATATTTTAAAAGTCCCGTCAATTCAACATGAGCTTGGTGATATGAAATGTTTCTGCAAGTCATTGTATGTTTATACTATCCCTAAATTCTTACATCTGAGTATTTTGCAAAGAAACCAAAACTCCATGTAAAACATTACTATATAAATTCTGGCATCAGTAGTGCTATAGGTCCCCTGTATCATCCAAATTAAGAAATGTTTGACTATAAAATATTTCACAAGCCTTCACTGTAAAGAGGCCAGAAATGGAAATGAAAAGACATCCTAGTTTAAAAGCAATGTATAATGAGAAAGCTGTTTTAGTCAGCATCAGCTCCCACTTTCTGCTGTGTCAGATTCAAGCCACAATTCCCCAGGACCAGAACAGCAACAGAGCCACAGGTCAGGATGGAATAGTGTTGGATAAAAACTCTGAGCTTCAGCTAATACCTAATTTGATCAGAGCTGTTATTGTAATTTCCATGGAAGCTGGAGCATGTCTCTAGCTTTGGGCCTGATCTTCCTGAAATCAACAGGAACAGGAATGGCTCCCAAGGATTTTGTACTAGAATTAGTTTCACCAAGCTGAAACAGTCTCTAGGTTGAAAATTACAATTACCAAAACTGTTACAAATAATAATAATGGCCGTATAAGTGTATATTTGAATCATGCATGTCAATGTTAGATAGTATAAATACAGATAAACAATAGTAGTAGACAAAATATTGTCAAAACTAAGATATTCAGCCCCTCCCTATGTCACATTTTTCTGTACACAGTAATATTTTCAACACCATAAAATTATTTAAATTTCTTGCCTATATAACACATACTGACATAAGATGGCATACAGCTTTAAAATCAAAATGAGAACTGACATTTTGAAAAATAACTGACCGTCATGGCACAAGAGTGCAGTGACCTCAGTCCTTCAATATTCTCTTTTTCTGTATTTTTTTTCCAAATGCTCAAATAAGTGAAAGGTGCCCAGAAACGAAATGTGTATTACCAGTGACCCCCTAATTCCAAAGAAGTCAAAATCACAACATTTGCACTGAACTTATTGGGCCAAGGAACGAATCTACAATGTGGAATTTATACGCATCTCACAAAACTCTTGTGCAGATTTCTGAAAACATATACCTATCAGATTGCAGGGAATTAAGCCTGCATTCCTTGTTCAACCAAAATTCCCTGACTGGAATAACAGCTTTAGATGTTATTTTTGTTCACATTCTGTTTTACTATGTTAAAACACCAGATTTTTTTTTCCTTTTACTTAAGATAAATGTGTGAAAATGCCTTCTTTCCATTCATAGATGTTATCTCCCTCAAACTTCAAATGATTCATCTGGGTGAATGTAGTTATAAATAATTTATCAAGATACATACCAGTTGTTAGGGAAAAAAAACCCTGAAGGAAGAATATCACTGCATAAAATCTGAACATTAAAATTGATTTTTTTAAATCAATCTTTAATTGGTTGTATTACCTCCTAATCCAGGTCTGAGGCGATTATCATAACCATCCAGAAGTCGGTCTAGAATTCTTGTAAAGATGGTGATGTTATTCTTAGCTTCGTCTTCCAGGGAGTCAGCCAGCACTGATCTAAATGGATATTTTACAATTTAGAAGGTGCTAAGTATGTTTTCACATACACTCAACATGCATTTTTTTTGCGCTGGCCTTTACTTGCTGCATTCCAACAGGAAAGGTGTATTTAACAGTATACAAACACACAATTTATATATAACAAGTTCAGACATATAAGGGTCAACAGCATACTATTTAAAATACCCAGGAAGTCATTTTCCAGTAGCCTCTACTTGTAGGCATCATCGCATTACTGAGGGTGTTGCTTCAAGCTCCACAAACACAGTTAGTGGAGGCTGTGCTGGTGCAAAACCTTAGAAGAGCTTCCCAGGCTCTGGTGGCATGTCACTCCTGGGCTGATAACCCGGGATCCCATGCACAAACACATCTCCTTCCAGCTCTATCTTATCTGTCCTCACTTCGGCATACTCCATCTCTGGATAAATCCTGTGGATTTGCCTCCACCCAATGGTCATGTAATGTACATGACCAGAAGAACTAACATGAGGGAAAACTCCAGCGATCATGCTCAGGGAGTCCTCTGACGCCAGCAGTTGGTGGGAGGGAACACCAGCGCTGACTAGCAAGCTGCAGGATAGCTGTGGCCAGCCTTCATCTTTCTAAAACGCTATTTTGTCATAAAAAGCACTATCTGATATTCCATTAGACGCAGACAAACCTTACAAAAGTTGGATGGAAAAAGGAATCATAAATGAAGTGTCAAGAAGAATCTGTAGATCACTGATTGTTTCAAACTTCCCCAATAAAGAGACATTACAGTTTTTGATCATGGATCAAATCTCTGCGGGACACGCTACAGGGGCTGGAACATGAACCTGCTGCCCAGCCAGCCGTGGTGCCCCACAGTCCCCTGGCACCTGGGCACCCAGATCACAGGGTTTGTGCCAGGGAAACCCTGACATGCAGAAAGCCTTACACATGCAAATGTTACTGTGCCAACAATTTTAAGCACGATGCATGTGAAATAAATGAGCTCATCAGTCTTATCTGCTTAAAACAAGCATATTGGTATCAAGGAAGTAAAGCATCAAATGCTACTCGCATTACCATTTACACCTTTTTCAGCTACCTAAATTTTTAATCCTAAATGTTTGAGTATTAATCATCTCAAAATGAAGGCATTCTGAATGCCATAAAAGCCAGCATGTTTTCCTCCTCCTCCTCCTCCAAACCAAAAGTAGGTTTAGGTGATATTTTCTCTAAAACAAGCTATAAAAGGATTAAAGACAAGGCTGTATGTTGGTCCTCACCTCAACAGCATAAAAAAGTATTTAAATGTAAATCATTGCAGTCTGTGTTTTCCATCATAAAAACCATAGAATCGAGCCAAATCAGATAATTTGCAAAGAACCCATGAAAATGTCATGTGTGATTTTATTCATGTGTCAGTTTTTTCTTAGTTGCAATTACTGGATGGTTCCTTTTTGGTTTGTAAAATGTATCATTGTACTCATGGACAACCAGAGTACGTCTCAGTTTTTAAACTCAAGATTCCACTAAAAATATTAGATCAATACAATTACATCAAATTAGGGTCGAATCTTGCAAACTTTTCTCAGGCATAAAGTCTTTAATAATGCTTATAGTCTCTTTGACGTCAGAAAGATTACTCACTTGAGTAGGGTTTGCAGGATCTGGCCCACTGTGACTCAACTAATACTGCACCATAGTTAGGTATAAAGTGAAATAGAAAACATAGTTTCAGAAAATATTTTGTTTGCTGGGAAACAAACAAAAATATTGGAGACATGTTAAATCATAGGAAATTTGCATTATATAGCACACAGTCTTTACCATATTAGGACAAGACGTACTGCAGCCACAACCAAAGCAAGTAAATCAAAGTTACAAACTACAATTACTTATGTGTTTAGGGACTGTGAGCAACACAAAAGTATAATGTAATAAAAATTACTTGTTCTTATACTGTCACTTTAGAAATTGAGAACTTTACACAACATAAGAAAAGTTGATTAATAAATGATGCTATTGTTTTATTATATGTAATTGTGAAGTTGTATGCTATCTCCACCTAGAGGTTTAAGGTTTAAGCATCATTTTGAATTCTATTATGTTTGACCAAAAAAAAAAAAAAAAGAAAAAAAAAAGGCATGCCCATATTAATAAATATATGAGCATTATTTTAAGGCCAGTGATTTTCAGTGTGACTTCATAAAAATCTGTTTCTCCATTTTGTATGGTACAGAATCACAGTTATGCAGTAACTCAAGTCTTTAAGATCCAAAAAGGCATTTAAAGAAATTGTTATTTTAATGGTGGAATAAAGCATCAATTCACAAACCCTTTAAGGACAAGAGATCAGGCTTTTAAGGTCCCTAAACTACATTCTACTGCATTTGCTCTCGAAACTATGTAATACTGCATTCAAACAGCTAAGAAAGATTTTTTTATTACGTTACTACATACTATACTTTTATAACCCCTCAACCAAGCTTACCCTTATCAGATTGTAACATACACGTTCACACTGAACAACAAAACTAAATATCCTCTCACCTTGTTGGTAGCCACACCAATAAAACGAGAAGAACCAACTGCATCTCGGAGAGTGCCAGCTTCTTCATCGCTGCTCTTTGCAAAACCTAACGGTGCAAGAAAAACACAAACCCACTCTCAGCCACAGTCAGTCTCCGCCAAGCAGCGCTTTCGACTTAAACCGGAGGAAAATATGTCACTTCACTGGAGAAAGGAAACCACTGGATTTCCGCAGCACTTTTCAGTACTAGCAACTTATTGTATCTCCATCTTTCCCAACGATCCTGCTCTGTGCAAGGAGGCAATGTATGATCAGAAGTGGCATGTGAGCCGGCGCATCAGATGCTTTCCTGTTCCGTGATGTGAAAGCCCCGAGACGAAAAGGAACAAAAAATAAAAACCGTATGTATGGGAGGACGGGGGTTTAACCACCCCTCGCCTCACTACGGCACACCGCAGCCGGGGGGGCGGGGGGCGGGCGGGAGGCAGAGTCATGCCATTCGCCGGGGCTCGGTGCGGGGACCGAACGCGGGCGAGCCGCCCCCCGTCGCCGCCGAGCGCCCAGCACGTTTGACAGCTGCTCGGCAGAGCACCGGCGGTCGCCGCCGGGGAGCGCAAGGGGAGCGGCGGGGGCAGCCCCGCAGGGCGGCAAGTTGCGGAGCGCGGCAGAGCCCCCGGCGCGGGCAGGCGCTGCCCGCCGCAGCTGGGGACCCCCGGGAACCCTACCTGGGAGCGGCGGGCGGGCGGGCGGCCGAGG